GATGTTTATGCTAAATGTTTCCTTTGATTAAATGAGCACCCATCTGAAGTAGTTCCTGTGACCTCATAACAATGCTACGAGGACAGCCCAGTTACTATTTTGCAGATGTGGAGACGGAAGTTCAGAGAGGTTAGGCAATCTCCCCAAGGGCACACAGGGAGTCACTGGTACAGTGAAGGCCAACTGACTCTTGCTTGTATCCTGTTCCTCTTTACAGCTAGGGTCTGCAAACTTTTTCTTAATGGGCCAGGTAGTAAATATCTTAGGACATACGGTCATCTCTTTTGGAGCCTCACAACTCTACTGTCAGAGCAAAGAAGCAGCCATCATGGTAAACAAATGGGCGTGGCTGTGTTCCAATAAAACTTTACTTACTAAATAACTTACAAATTTACAAAATGGTAAACTTAGTTTACCAAAACAAATGGCTAGCCCACAGGCCATCGTTGGCCCAATGAACCCGGCTTTTGAGGGAGTGAGGAGCTGGACTGTGGGGGCTCTTCTGGCTGTACCTTTCCAGCCTGCATAAGGCAGGCCGATGTGCCGTGCCCAGAGACTGGGGACAGAGGATCCTCACAGGGAAAGGAAAAGAAACAGGGACCTTCTCTGGGAAACCAAAGAGTAGCAGCGTAATCGGAATGCTTTCTTAACACTTGGCGATAAGTCATTCTTACCCCTTTGGGGGTCATGGCTGCTTTGAGGATCTGATGAAAGTTCTGGATTTGAATCGTCTCTGTAAAACGAAAGAGAAAAAATTCACTCTCAATACACACATAGTCTTATAGGTTAGAGGCACTCAAGATGCCTCCCCCACCATCCCTCCCTCCCATCCAGTGCCCGTGGGCCCCAAGGGAAGAATGTTAGCCTTCAAGGACCTGTCTCTGGGTGAAGGGAGGGCATTACCTCCCTCACTACCTGTATCCTGCTGACCAACTCCCTCCAACCCTCCCCGCCACCCACCTACCCACCTACGCACCCGCAGTGTCTCCTTCTGCACGTTCCTGGCTCATGAATACCCAGACCTGGTGCACAAGGTCATCATGATCAACGGCGGGGGCCCCACAGCCTTGGAACCCAGCTTCTGTTCCATCTTCAACATGCCCACGTGCGTCCTGCACTGCCTATCACCCTGCCTGGCTTGGAGCTTTCTCAAGTGAGTCACCCTGGCCCCAGCGAACCCTGGCATCTCCCTGAGTTGGGGGGAGGGGTGGCTGTATTGCTGCCAGAACGGGCATCGGAGGTGCCCCTGGTGGCCGAGCTGGCGCAAGGCCTCCAGGAGTGCGTCCTCACCACCAGGGCTGGCTTCGCGCGCCAAGGAGCCAAAGAGAAGCAGCTGCTGAAGGAGGGCAATGCGTTCAACGTGTCATCCTTCGTCCTGCGAGCCATGATGAGTGGCCAGTACTGGCCTGAAGGTGACGAGGTCTACCATGCTGAGCTCACTGTGCCCGTCCTGCTCGTTCACGGCATGCACGACAAGTTTGTGCCAGTGGAGGAAGACCAGCGCATGGCCGAGGTAGGGCCTTGGCACCGGAGCCATCACATGTGCCCCAGGGGGATTCTGCCTTGTGCTCCAGCCCCAGGGAAGGGAGAGGTTAGATTGAGAGTGCGATCCAGAACATGGGGCTGCCCTGGTGCCCTGCCCAGCTGGGATTTGTATAAGTGACCAGGGACGCCTGGTCATATGTAATTCTGGGAGAGGTCAGGCGGGGGATCTTTAGATCAGAGGCTACCGAGAAAGTGTCTTGGGATCCTCAGCACTGGGACTAGGTCTGGACCAGCAGTTCTTAGCCAGCAGGGATTCTGAGCCCCAGAAGACACTGGAAATGTCTACAGACTTTTTTTGGTTGTCATGAGTGGGGAGGAGGGGCTTCTGATGTCAGGGATGCTGCTCAGTGCCCTGTAGCAAACAGAATGGCTCCACAGCAAAGAATGTCCCCACCCCAAGTGTCAGTAATGCTAAGGTTGAGAAGCCTGGCACGAGAGACCTTGACCTGGCTTGAGAGACCTGGTCTTTCTATCTCGGTGATTCTCACCCAGCGGTGAATTTGCTCCCCAGGGATATTTGGCAATGTCTGGAGACATTGTAAGCTGTCCCCCTGTGGGGTGGGGGAGTGGGACACTGCTACTGGCATCTGGTGGGTCGGGGCCAGGAATGCTGCCCAACATCCTACTGTACACGGGACACCCCCCACCACAGAGAATCGTCCCACCCTATGTGTCAGTAGTGCTGGGATTGAGAAATTCTTCTCTGGACATACTGTAGCCACGTCATAAATATTGAATGAATACTGAGGTCAGCAGGCTATCCTCCACCTCCGCCTTGGGTGGAAGTAGAGGGATGAAGGGTAGACCACAGGAAGGACTTCCTAAGACTGCAGGCCTGGTGTGGATGGGCTTGGGTGTACCAGGGCAGCCTGCCTTTGCCACCCTGAACCTGTGCCCCCACCCCTGCCCCCGCCCGCAGATCCTGTTGCTGGCCTTCCTGAAGCTCATCGATGAAGGCAGCCACATGGTGATGCTGGAGTGTCCAGAGACGGTCAACACGCTGCTCCACGAATTCCTGCTCTGGGAGCCCGAGCCCTCGCCCAAGGCCCTGCCCGAGCCCCTGCCTGCGCCCCCAAAAGAGAAGAAGTAGCCGCTGGGCCGGCCGGGCATCGCTTGGTAAGCCGAGGAGCAGCAGGAGGAAGCCAGGGGCCGCCCCACGTCCGCAGCGCGGACCACCTGGGCGGGCTGTACGCTCCGGTGGGCGGAGTCAGGTCAGGGAGACGCCCCCAGGCCCCCAGGCCGGCTGGGTAGGGCATGGCGTTCTCGGGAGCCAAGTGGTTACACCGCTCTCCGCTTCCATCCTGCCGGACCCATCGGTGTTTTGGGGCCGGAGCCGGAACCCCCGTGGAGGATGACCTTGTACAGAAGCCCCTGCCCCTCAACGCCGCTCTCTGTCTTCCGTGTCAGCCGTGCTTGATCCTGGGACCCTCAGGGCCCCGCCTCATTGCCCGAGACCCTCCCCACCCCCCATTTCTTGGCGCTGGGAGCTGTTGTTGCCCAAGTGGGGGGGAGGGAGGGGGGGGCTGGCACCACCGAACCTGCACATCTCAACTTGTAACTCAATAAAAAGAAGTGACAATCTGAGTCTCTGGAGGACCTGTGCTGGGTGATGGCAGGGCAGGGTCGTCCTGAGCCTCAGTTTCCCCGTCTGCAGACTGGGCTGATGCAGGCGCCACCCCCTCACGGCTGACTTAAAAAGAAGTGAGGGCGTTGGCCATCCAGGCTTGCTTCCAGAGTTCTCCCTCCCTCCTCAGAATGCAGGGGCTGCTTGGGCAGTATTCCCAGAACAGAGGCAGATGGTGAGCTCCGGGTCCCTGGAAGGCGGGAGGCCGTCCAGCTGAGGTTCATACAGGGGTTAAGGTGAGCATCAGCAGACGTTGCATGGGCTGGAGCAGCCATAATGGAGGGCCACCTGTATACAAAGCCCTGTGCCAAGTGCCTGATGCCATCGGTTCATTGAATCCCTTTTATGCCACGCCACTCAGCAAGTCGGTACCTCTTACTATCCCATTGTATCTTTCAACCTGGTTTAAGGTCGCTTTTGCCATGAAGATAGTTTTTGTTCTGGTTTTGTTGCTGTTGTTGTTTTGGGTTTTTTTTTAAGCCAACGAATCTGCCTTTCTTGTCTGGCAGAAGGATTTCCTGCCCTACAGCCATGCTCTTACTCCTCTATATTTTCTAATGTCTGTATCTCAAGGGTACACCTCTGGCTTGTGTGAACGGTGCGGGGAGAGCATCCTCCCTTTAAGTTACTACTTCTTTGGTCCTCTCTGCACTGGTTTGTAAGCCCACCTTTAGTTTAGAACGGAGTTTTCATGGTGGCACTGTTTTCCACGAGCAAATTTAAAAAAAAAAAAATATTGTGTTTATTTGAGAGTGTGGCACATGACTGGGGGTGGGGGTGGGCACAGGGAGAAGCAGGCTTCCTGCTGAACAGGGAGCCCGAGGGGGACTCTATCCCCGGACCCTCAGATCAAGACCCGGACCGAAGTCAGATGCTTAACTGACTGAGCCACCTAGGCGCCCTTCACTAGCAAATTCTGGAGACATTTTTAATTGTGGCAACTGGGGGTAGGAGGAAGTGGGTGGAGCCCACTGGCATCTAGTAGGTGGAGCCCAGGGATGCTGCCCAGACACCATACAACGCAGAGGATGGCCCCTACCTCAAAGAATAATTTGGCCTCAAACGTCAGTAAGGTCCACACTGGGAAATTCTGTTGCAAATCTCATCTCTCTCTCTTTGGAGGGGGGTGGGGGTGTCTGGATTCTTTCCTAGTGACTTCTCTGTGAATTCCTGGGCACATGGCACACTTTTAATTGCTGTCACTTTATCAAAAGACTTGGTGTCTGGGAGGCCTCCCCGTCTTATACATGAGGAAAGAGAAGTTCAGAGAACTGTCCTCAGTTTGGTCAAAATGGTAGAACCCAGAGGCGCATGGGTGGATCTGTCAGTTAAGTGTCAGACTTCATTTCAGCTCAAGTCATGATCTCAGGGTCCTGGGCTCAGACCCCATAGGGGGCTCCCCGTTCAACACAGAGTCAGCTTGAAATTCTCTCTCTCCTTCTGTCCCTCCCACAGCTAGCGCGCGTTCTCTCTCTTTAAAAAAACAAATAAAATCTTTAAAAAATAAATAAATAAAATGGTAGAGCCCAGACCCACTTCAGAGCCCTGGCCCCAAATTACCATACCAGTAGGCAGGAGCTCCGCCTCCAGGAACTGAATGAAGCAGGTGGAAGGAGCCAGGGTTACACCCCGCCCCCTCCAGGACCCAGTTGGCTGAGCCACGATGATGGGCAGATGGTCAATCCAATGAGACGGCGGATCCTCTCAAATCTCTAAATACTCTAAATGCTTTTAAGAAGCAACTTCCAGAAAATAAAACGATCCCGTCAACACCTCACCAGGATGGCAGCTTGGCATTTACTAAAGCTCTTAACATATGGGAAGTCTGAAATCGCATAGCATCCCCAGGAAATCGCGGTTATTTATTGCCTCTTATAGCGGGAAGAAACAGTCTCAGAGAAGCAAGGGAGACCCGAGTAGCACAGCTATCCTGAAGAGAGCTGCTCGCTCGCCCATACCCCAGTCGCCCTCCTGGGCTCTGCCCACAGCTCGCCACACACAGTCGGCCCCTCAACAGCGTCAGGGCGCCTCCCTTCGGGGAGATTTTCCACCTGCAGGGTTCTGTGCCCCACACTGTATTTCCTGCCTTTGTTTACTCCGGTCTCCACCATGACCCCCTGAGGTAGGACTTGTCATTGTCCCCACTGTACAGCTAAGGAAACGGAGTCTCAGAGAGACACGTTATTGGTCCGAGGTCCCATAGCTGGGAAGCAGAGAAATCTCTCTTGAGCTTGGCCAATTTCCCCAGCCCATCCCACAGGTGAGTCCCCATTTCTGGGAGATAAAAGTGGATCACAAAGACAGGACCAAACTGCCAAAGCACTAGCACCTTCTGAAGCCCTGGAATGTTCCAGAGATCCTTGGGTTCCCTACTTGTTCTCCCATGACGGGAAGCTCCAGAAGTTCCATCTGTAACAAAGTCCTCCCTCAGCTGGAGGGGAAGATACAGGTCGCTGCCCGGCCACCCCTTACCCCCTGGCAGCCTTCTGGAGATGGGTGGCTGCCGTCACCACGGGGCAGACATTCAAACACCCTGATCTCTACCTAGGCTAGGGGCCAGCTCCCCGGGACTCAGCCACGTGCCTGGATGTCCTGCGGCCGCAGCTCTCGCTCACCCTCGGCCAAGAAGACAAGGAGGGCGCGGTGCAGCAGGTGTACCCCCAAGCGGCGGCGCCGGGTGGCTGGCCAGCCCGCCACGACTCCGTAGCAGTGTCCTTGTTTCTGGTTCGTCAGTGTCTGGATCCCTGGAGAGAGGAGGGGTCAGGCATCCTTGGAAACTGCTGGCAAATGTGACAGTGACTCCCACTGCGTATTGCTCTTAAGCAGGGACAAACTGACAGAGCAAACAAAATATGTACGTGTGCAGGTACATAGTTGGTGCTCAATAATTGTTCATTGGATGAATGAATGAGCAGCTCTAAGAGGAGAGGGATGAGGTAATCATTAGATCAAAGGTCCCTCTCGTGACCCCTCCCCCTGCCGCATGGGCCAGGCACCTACCTAGAGCAGCCACGAGACAAGCCTCTCGAGTATAAGCCTCCACAGCAACCACGTGTTGGAAGCAATGCAGGGAGACCACACCACGGCCACTGGCCCAAATGTCCAAGATCTGGCGCACTTTGGGGCAGGCCTAGGGGACAAGGGTGGGGTCAGGGATCTGCCCTCCAATCCCCTCCTCCCTTCACCTCCCCGTGGCCCAGCTGCCCCTGCTGTGCCCCTGATCTTTAGCCCCACACCTGCTTTCCTGGCTGCCGACGGAGCCTGAGGGCCTCCCAGAGGTGGACATCTGGCCGGGCCCGCATTCCTTTCCCCACATAGAAGATGGCACGGACAAAGATCCGAAGGCGTTCAGCTGGGGTCAGTGAGAAGGCGCGAGCTGGCAGGTCCTGAGTCTCCCTGGATGAGGGAAGTTGCTCAGAGAGGACAGTTGCCCCGGAGACAGTTTCTAAGTTTACAGAGCAACCGGAATCCATGTCCAGTGAGCCCCATTTTCTAAGGCAGAGAGTGGCGGATGCTCCCCAGGGATACTCAGCAGCTTGAACTGGGTCTAACCAACCTTTTCTATATACAGAAGGTTGTATCCAGACAGGGCCAGTCCCCCTTTTAAAGATACAAAGCAAATAAGAACCAATCCCCGAATTTTCCAGCTCCCACCTCTGAGTCATCCCTGCCCCAAGTACCTGGGGTCCAATAGCAGATACGTGAAACTGGACTTCGTGAGCCCCTCCCGCCACCTGCTCTTGGGATCTGGACGCTCAAACTGCTGGGCCAGTACGTCCTCGTCTGCCTGGGCATCTGGGATACAGCCTGTCTGCAGGGCTTCGGCCAGCTCTGGGCTGCGCCCTGCAAAGTCTGAGCCCCAGGTTGGGGAGGCAGGAGGACTGAGTCAAGGCAGGCAGAAGAAGGGGCTGATCCCCCAGAGACAAAGAGTAAAAGAGGCAGGAGTGAGAGACAGGGTTCTCCGGGAACTCCCAGAGGCTCCTTGCACTCTGGATGCCCCGAACAGACTAACCAGGAGCAGCAGCACGGGTTTCTTCAAGCCGCCGGAAGTAGTACGGCCGAGTGAAGGGTGTGATGGGGCCGGGGCTCTCGCCAAGTGCTCGGAGCCCTCGCAGCAAATCCAGGTCAGACACCGCAGGGACCAAAGGGCACCAGCAAGAGCGGATGGGGTCCCTGTCACCTGTGGAGCTCCCCTCGTCCTCCATCAGCCAGAGGGCAGCCACATCACTGTCAAGGGACACCTCTCCATCTTTTAGGAAGCAGGAGTCGGGGAGTCCTGGCGGTGATTCCCGAGGGGGGCTTGAGGCAGGGCTCCCATCCGGGAGGGATATGAGGGAGGGGGAGGCATCTGGAGAGGTCAGAGTTAGGGCCTGGAGACGGGTATTTAGTTCTGCCTCCCTGTCTGCTCTGGCAGTTCGATGCACCAGTGGAGGGGTACCTGGAGAGCTGGGCATCCTCTGGGAAGGTCGAATACCAGGCAGGAGTCCCTGCTTGGTCTGGGGTAGTGACCTAGCCCAGGAAGAGGTATGTGGGGCTGGGTCTTCAGTTCCAGAAGCTTCAATCGCAGTGACAAAGGAGCTATCTGAGCTGTAGTCCCATCGTCCTGTGGGTTGCTCCAAGCCGCTATCCTGGTCAGCAATCTCAGGGTGGGCAAGAAGGCTGGGGAGTCTGGGGCTGGCTTCCAGGCCCATGTCCCTGCCATCACTTCCGCCCAGTGCTGTGGAGCCCGGCGTCACACTGGGAGGTCCAGAGGACCTGGTGTCCAACCCCTTTCCCCAGGGGTCTGGGCCTAAAGTAAGGGATGAGACGGAGTCAGAAGGGAGTAAAGAGAGCCGGAGACAGAGATGGGGGTTGGACCAGACAGAAGGAGGCAGCTGGAGTCGCAGGAGGAGGGAAAGCGTCGGAGGCAGACAGCTTACTGGAGACAATGCACCTGAGACAGAGCCAGAGTGGACATCAGAGGGACACTCAAATCTAGATCAGAGGTTAAGCCCCCGAGTTACGCGCAGGCCCCACGTACCGTCAGCCTCGGGCTCAGGCTCAGGCTCCTGGCTCTCTGTCCGGGTGGGGGTCGAGATCTGGGTCCGAGTCTGGAACTCCCGAAGGAGTCCCGCGCAATCCTGGTGCCCCTGCTGTTCTGCCAGGTCGAGCGGCCACAGTCCGTCCTGTAGCGGCGCGGTCAGCAGGGGGCACCCGAGGCCCTCTTCCCGCCCTTCTTCCCTCCCTCCCTTGCTCCCTCCAGGTTCGCCCTGCTACTGCAGGAGCGGGACTCCCACCTGGTCTCGCAGCGCGGGGTCCGCTCCGTGGCCCAGCAGTAGCTCCAGGCCACGGCGACAGCCCCAGGCGGCAGCCACGTGCAGCGGCGTCAGTGCCTCGACCGAACTGGGACAGGAGCAGAGGAGGGGTCAGGGGACGAGGGAATGTGATCGCCGTCTCCGCACCCCGGAACCTTGGCTCTTGGGATCCTATTGCCACCCTCCAGCCTGAGACACCATCCCTGGATCCTAGACACTGCATCCTCAGCCAAATTCAAACCTCACATCCCAGCCTCGGTCTGGGACCCCAGCCCCTCGCCCTAGGATCCTCAGGAATCGCCCCCAGATCCCTAAGCCCCACCCTTGGACACCGAGTCTCCGCCCCTGGGCTGTGGGATGCCCTCTCCCAGTGGGCGGCCGAGGCACTCGGACTCGGGAGACCCCTCCCCGGCGCGACTCACCCCGCCCGGGGTCCTGGCCCCACCTCACCGAGCGTTGGCGTCCCCGCCTCGGCTCAGCAGGGCTTCCAGACACCGCAGACCGCGCGGGTGGCGGGCTCTCGCCGCCAGGTGCACGGCTGCCGCGCCATCCGCGAGCAGCAGGTTGGGGTCGGCGCCGCGGCTCAGCAGCTCCTCCACCGCCCTACGGAGTGGGAGGTCAGAATGGACCGCGACCCTCGCCCCGTCTCCGGCCCGGTCCCTCACCTTCCTCACCGCGGCTCTGTCTCCCGCAACGCGGCCCGAAGCCGCTGGGCCAGGCGGGTCGCCGCGTCCATGCTGGGTCTGTCCCGGAGCCCCGCGGCGCCGCCCGCCGAGTTCCAATTTCCCGCCGCGGCCTTGTGCGCACGCGCCGCCCCACCCCCCGCCTCGGGTGTCCGTGGGACGGCGCCGCGCAGTGTCCCCAGCCAAGCGGACCTGCGCCGCACCGGCGTCCACATCGGGGTTCGCGAGCTCTAGCGCCTGCGGGGACCCATGACACCGAGTGGCGCTCAAGCAGGGCCTGGGGCCGCCGATAAGGCCCGGGGCGGGTGGAGGCCGCCAAGTGTGTCATTATCTCGTGTCAAAAGCAGGGAAATGCGAACTCACCCTGAAGGAGGGTGTGGCGCTGCCTCCCTGGGCCCGGAGATGCCCATAGGGTATTACGTCTCCCAGAACGTTTTGCCCAAGGGGGCTGCCGTAGACGAGCACTGCCTGGACACTGTGTAAAGCTTCAATTAACAGCTCCCGCCTCTATCTCTGTGTGGCCCGTTTCCACTCCCAGGGAAACGGGAGTCCACTACTTTGGAGCGCCGGGCCGGTGAGGGCCTTAATATTCCCATCTGCAAAATGGGAGAATCATCTCTTCAGGGCTGGTGTGAAATGGAACGATTTTTCACCACAAGGGCCTGGCACCTAAGTGCCCAATAAATGCTCACAGGGAGGAAAATAAAGCTGTTTCTGTTTTATAAATAGAATCTAGTTGCCAAACTTTTTGCACAATCGCTCATCATCCAGGGAGATAGCTGAATGGTACACCTGTTCTATCTGTCTCTGGTCTCCCTTCCTCTGGGGAAAACCCATACTATTTCCTGAAAGAGCTGTAATCCCTTCCCGGATTAGAGGCTTGATCAAGTCCTGGTGGATCAGACCATCCCACAACTCTAGCCCATGACTGGCCCAATGACCAGTCAAGGCCCGTTGCATGTGGGGGCCCTCCCTTCCCTGGGCTGTAGTCTGAGGAGTGATCACAGCTCTCCCATGGTTTGGGAGAAAAGCAGAGCATACTGAACACCAATCACACAAGATACTTCAGCCCACCCCAATGGCATTATTGTCTGAGTAACTAAATACAGCCAAGCCTGAAGCTGCCCTTCGCTTTTCATCCACAAGAACCAAACCATTTCTCTTTCTGTTTGGCCGGCAGGTTTCCTGTCACTTGCATCCAAAAAGATCCTAATTAACACAACGTAACTGTTGTCGACCTGGGTCAGGGATTCTCAGATTTTTATTCTGAGGATAAGAAGCACACAGGGAAAAACAAAACTTACAGTCAACAAACCAGCAGTGGGAGGTGGGCCGGAAAACTTAGGGAAGGGGTGCCCAGGGTCCCAGGAGCCTCCTGAAACCCTCCCCCACCAGGGTGCCATGGAGCCCAGTTTGAGAACCATTCTCTAAGCCAAGGGCTTCACTGCACGAGAAGGCAGGGATGTATAGGGATGGTTCAGACGGTGGCTTCGACCTCGGTGGCTTCGTCGTCCTCCTCCAGCAGGCTGTAGGAGGCATGACTCTGGCAGGGCCGCTGCAGTGGATGAGCCAGCAGCTTGGCCATACAGTTGTGCAGCTCAAGGGCTGGCCCAGCCAGTGCCACCTCATACTTGTAGCTGGTACCCTTGGTATCCAGGCTGCCCATGAAGGCAAACATGTCCTGTGGGGCCGGGGAGGGGGCTGTTCAGCAAGAGGGTCCCCTGATGGACACTCTCTGCCCCTGGAGGGCTTCCCAGAGGAGAGGGCACTAGGGATGGGTTCTGAAGGATGAATAGGAGTTTTCCAGAAAGAAACAGTTCCATGTTCAGCAAATATTCCCCGCCACCCACCCAGGGGTAGGGACCCCAAGAAATCTCAGTCCTGGAGCCCCTAGTTTGGAGACACAGTCAGATGCAGACGACCCCCGGCCCTCATGCTAATCATCCCTGAGGATGATCTGGGGTAGATGGTTTGGGTGCTGAGGTAGAAGGAGGAGCCGATCTCAACTCCCCCTGTTCACAGTTGGGTAAACTGAGGCTCAGAGGTAAGTGGTCTAATCAACATTTTTTAGCTAAGTCTGGGGTGGGATATGAAGGACCAGCAGGGCCTGGGAAGACAAGGCAGGAAGGGCACTCCAAGCAGAGGGCCTGGTGAAGCAAAGGCAGACCGGAGAGGCCCCCACTAGCTCACAGCAGACACGTAGAGATGGTTGTTGAATGAGCTCAGGACCATGATCCAGCAGGGCGAGGGCTCCAGGGGTGCAAAACGGAGGTGGCTTCCAAGACACCCCACCTACACCCTCCCTGCCACCCACACGCACAGCAGCCTCTCACCTTCCAGCTCATTTCCTCTTCCTTCTCATCAGCGCCATTGTGGATGTAAACAACATCGAAGAAAAAGTATGGGCACTGGAACATTTTCTGCAGGGAAAGAATGCCAACCCTCGGGGCGTGAGTCACCCCCTGTCCCCATGACCGTAATTCCCCAGCTTCTGCCTTGGACTCTGGGAACCTGCCCATAGGCACCCCAGCTCTTATGATCAGGAAGTCCCTCCTGGTGTCTAAGCAGCCATTCTGCTGGCTGCAGCTCTCTCTCCCTTTCCCCAGCCTCACTCACCTTCATGGGCTCGGTCAGGGAGAACTGGGGCTGGCAGGGCGGACGGCTATAGACTAGGATGGTGCGGACCACGTACGGGGGTGGAATTGTCCGCACGTTCTCGGTGACGGGCAGCTCAGTCTTCTGCTGGCTGCGTAGTGGAGGGTGGGGGAGAGGTCAGAGCACGCTCCAGGGATCCCCCGCTCTTGTCACCCTCGGAGAGCCTGGGCCTTCACTGGGCACGCAAAGCCCACATGACTGCTCCCTCCGAGCCTCCCCCTAGGCTGTTCCCTCTGCCCAGACTGCCTCCCCACCCTCACCCTTCTGCCTGACCTCTCCTACTCTATCAGGGGGATCTGCAGACCCCAAAGGTGGAGCCCACTCTGACCCTCCTCACCATCCTTAATATCCCCCTCATTGACCTGACTTGGACATGTCCCCCAGGCCAGAAGAGTCTAAGGCTGGGGCCTGATCTTATTTCATAAGTTAGCACCCATGTCCCCAAATGGCCACGGCTGGATCTCACATTGGCAGAGAGCACTGGGCAGACAGAGGGCGAAGGTATTTAATATGTGAAAAGCAAATCTGATCATCAATAAGAAAAAAGCCACTATTTCCCTATAAACACAGGCAAAGGGGACAAACGGACAAATCACTGCAGGAATACTGAATGGTTTACAAATGAATGAAAAAGGCTTCAAGAAAAGCACAGTGAAAGTAACAGGTGGCCACTAGCCTCTATCAGACAGCCAGAACCTTCGGCAGCATGAAGAACCCTGCTGTCGGGAGAGGTATGCAGGGTTGGTTTCCGGCGACAGTGTTCTGGAAAAGTCTAGCAGGTTAAAAATACACACCCCTTTGGCCCAGCATGTCTTCCACTGGGAATTTACAGGACGGATTCACTTGCAAAATCTGCCAGAACCACTGTACCAGGTCAATCATGATGGAAAAGGCAAAACAAGACCCGTGTCCACCATTAGGGGCAGGTTAAGAAGGGATGCTGGACTACCAGGGCCCCGAAGCTAAGAATGGCTTTTACATTTTTTAAATGGTTGGGGGAAGAAAATCAAAAGAACATTTTGTGACATGTGGAAAGGATATGAAATTCAAGTTTCCGTGTTCATCAAGAACGTTTTGTTGGGGACACAGTCCCGTGCACAGGGATGGTTTGTGACTGCCTTCAAGTGACTCAGGCAGGATCCAGTCATCAAGACAGAGGCCATATGGCCTGCAAAGCTGAAAATATTTACTGCCCGGCTCTTTACAGAAAAAGCGCGCTGCCCCCTGGGTTAAAACAATGGAGTTGGGGGGGGGGCGCCTGGGTGGCTCAGTGGGTTAAAGCCTCTGCCTTTGGATCAGGTCATGATCCCAGGGTCCTGGGATCGAGCCCCGAATCGGGCTCTCTGCTCAGCAGGGAGCCTGCTTCCCCGCCCCCCCCCC